CTGCCTCTAACCGCTTTAGGCGCCCGGGGGAAGCGTTACGGTCTTGCGGTCGCCCCAGGGCCGGGCCGCGGGTCGTATTTGCCAGAAGCCCTGCCCGGCCTTCCCCTGGCCGCTAGGCCAGCGGCCTCTCGCAGCCTTGGGTCTCTCTAGGGTAGCCGCGGTGCCAGCAGGTAACTGAGGTGTGAAAAGGAGAGTTTGTTCGTTTATAAATAAGCGCGCCTGGCTTTTCCCCCCGCGTACTCTGAGAATTTGCTAGCGTTCTTAGGTTTGTACAAGGTTTGCCTGTTTTCTTAAAGTTCGGGCATCTGAGTATCGGGCAGTTATCGCGCACTTCACTGGCATGAATGCTGTCTATGGCAGATGTCCTTGCAAAAGTCTCTTCTCCTCAGCTGCTCTTTCGCTGCTGTTGAAAACTGTATTTGCATTGGTAGGAAGCTAGATCTCTGGAAAGTAATCGTCCTGGAAATATTTAGACACCTTGTGCTGTAGGCTGTGGCAGTACCTCTGAAAAATACCGGGCTGCTAAATTTCAGGTCAAGTCTCCTTGCTCGTATTGAAGCAGTATGGCTTAGCTGCAGTGATTTCGGATCAGGAGTCAGATGGGCTTGTTGTCTGTAGGGTGAATGGATGTTGTAATGCAAAGGCCCAGAGTTTACAACAGACTCTTCTGCTGCAATTCATGGTTTGAGTCTAAGAATGCTGCTCGTCTCTTGATCCTACTTGATTCTTCCAGTTCCCAACATGTGGATCTTCCCAGATAATCAGAAGGAGCCTCTGTTTCAAGGTGCTCGCTAACGAAGGACAAATAGGCAGACAGATGAGCTCTGGGAAACATTGTTACCAGTTGATTCATTTTAGATCAGTTCGTTGCAGGCAGTAAATTGCAGGTTTACTGTAGAAGGAGGGGCCCTGCAGGTGGCCTTGCAGAGGTTTAAGATGACGAGCATAGAAGTGATAGTGGAGAAATGATTGGTCTGGGAATGCTGTCAAAGCAGAGGGGACAAACTGACCACATGGGGCTGAGCAGAAGGGAGCTGAGTTGCTTGGGATTTCGAATGTGGTCAGAGGAACCTGAAGTTTGAGACAGGAAAGACGGAGGGAATGAAAGGGGAGACTGATGTGGTGGATGAGAAAAAACAACTTGAGAATCTTTGTGAAGGCTGTGAGGGACTTTCACATGTGGTTAGGAGAGATGGTTTTTGCAGTAGTTGGGGACAGGCTATAACAAGAGCCAGGCTGTGTAGGAGATTTGTGTCCAAGGCAAAGCCTGGCTTCTAGAGGTGCCAAAGAGGGAGCGTTGGCAGCATTTGATATAGCCTAAATGTGCAGGACAAGGAAGTGGCAGGAATTAAGAGCAGTCTGGAGTGACACTGATGTTACTTGTGGCAAGAAAAGCCACAGCAGGGTGGGAGTCCAGCCTTGGCCTTGTAAACTTGGCCACTTGTTTGTAAGCATCCAGGCTGTGAGCTTTGTTGGAGAATGTGAAGGTACTGCTGAAGTGCTCAAGCTTCTTTTGTGATTGCTACCCTGTTAGGGGTCAGCAGGAGGTGGGTTTGATTCCCCTCTTTCCCCATGTGCACCACTTAAGATTGAAGGGAGCTGCCAAGCCATGCTGCAGAACGCTGTTCTTTGGGTTGAGGATTTGACTGATGCCCCTTCAGCCATAGCTGACAGCTCCCCGAGTCGAATGTAAGATCTTGTCATACCTTTGGAACTTACTGTATAAGCTCAAAGTTACATCTTTTGAACGAGGAGAATGTGACTGAATGAGTAGCTGCATAAAGTTATAACTTTGCTCTCCCTTTTCTTCCAGATACCTTCTTGAACAGCGAGATGTGGAAATTAATGTCCGTGATAAATGGGACAGTACACCTCTGTGAGTCCTGCAGCCTAGAGCGCTGGCTGGGCGGGAGGGGAGGGCTTTCAGAGCTCTCTTGCTCTCTCTGCATCAGCAGCTAGGAGCACTGTTACAAAACGCCTCAGGTTCTGCTTTTCGGGAGATTTCATATGTCTGCGGGTGCTGTGCTAAATGTGTCTTTGTCTCCCCATCTGACTGAACTTGCTGTAGTAGTGCTCGGAAGAGTGGTTAATTTTGTGACCAAATTACCTGGATTAAGCAGTCTGTTCTTGGCCTGATTAGGCTTTTCCCCCCTCAAAGTCTATGGCATTCTAGCATGTCTTTTCAGGTGAAGGCTTCGCTTGGTGAAATGCAAAGTGACTGTGGGATCACAGTCTGTCTGGCAAGGCTGTAAACATGCAGTAGGTAGTGAGGAATCCCCATGCTGGTGCAGAGGAGAGTGGTGTGAGCTTTTTATCTCCCCACATACCAATTCCAAAGTGCATTTAGATATCTGCAATCTATTTAGAGTATGGAATAACTTGCCAAAGTAAAGGTAAACTAACATTTGCCTGCTGCAATGCACGTTACAGGATTCTCCTAGTTTGTAAAACAATTTGAGGTCCTTGTGAAAGAGAATCATGAAAGGCTTAGATTGTGAAAGAGAAAATGAAACTCATCGTAAGTAAGACTTTGAGGGGTGGATTTGCTGTACATGCGGTGTGGGTGCTGTTCCCTCGTTGTTATAGCGTGCAGCAGTCAGACTGACAACAGAAGGAGCAAGGAGTGTTTTGGAGAATTCGGTGGAATTGCCGAGTGCCCATGAAATGAACTCCATTAAAATGAGGATGGATTCAGCAGCTGGTGGTACAACAGAAGATGCTGAACCCAGATTGGGACCTTGAGGTCTCCTTGCAGGACAGCAGTGCCTCGGAGTCCTGGGAACAGATCCTGCTTAGTCTATTGCTGGGGTCAGACTTCTATGCTATTCGGTAGCACTTCCTCACTCCTATGAAGGATTAATCTTCTAAGCTTCTCAGGGATGACTCAGTGCTGAGGTCTGCATGCTGTGGTGTGCCCAAACACTGAGTTTTGCTTCCTACCGTATCTCTAATTTTCTTTCTCTTGTTATTGTCAGGTATTATGCTTGCCTCTGTGGACATGAGGAGCTTGTACGCTATCTTCTAGCCAATGGTGAGCAAAAGTGTCCTGGTTATGGGTGCAGTAGCTTTCTCCGTACTGCTCCGTAGGGATTGTATATCCTTCTAGCTGTCCCTCGTGGAAATTTCTTCTGTTACAACCAACCATCTGATCAGCGATCTCAGGCTGCAGTGGGAGCCCTGGACACGCTTTTGTGGTCCCTTTTGCAGGCCATTTGCTGCTTGAATTTGCTACAGGGAAGCTTTCTGTGATGGCTCAAAGCAGCATGACTTTCTGAAATCACAGCTGATGTTTTGTGAGAGTGTGTTGCTGTTGGGAGTATGCTGATGTAAGAATTGTACTTCATCTGAAGAACTGTCTGTGTAAAACTTTCTTGTACTTTTCCAATAGCCTTGTTTTGTAAACAGGACTTAAAGGTGAAATGCAAGGGCTTTTACTAACCTCAAACAAAGCAAGACAAACTCTCCAGGCAAAGCGCTTGCCCAGCACCCAAATTCCCTTAGGTAGTGGTGATGTTCTGTGTTCTGGCAGAGGAATCAGAGTGCAGAGTCAAATCTCAAAAGGTTTGTCTCATCCACTGCATTCAGAGCATCTTAATCAACCACTTGTGTAATTCTAAAATAGCAAAATGCAAGTGCCTTCCAAATTTCTAGCGGAGTCTAACTAAAGAGGCATCTCTTGCCTTGTGAAAGGCAGAAATGCTTTTTAGGAGGAGCTGTTAAAAGTCCAATAAGCGATTGTACTCTTTGTACAGTGAGATTCTTCTTCCCAGAACGCTGCTAGAGCCATGCTGAGAGACTTATTACCAGGGTCAGTTTAAATGAGTCCTGACTTCTTCAGAAAGGGATTTTGTTATGGGAGAACAGCTTTAGGTTATACACATGTAAGGGGAGCTTAGTTTTTGTAAATATGCTCAGTAGCATAGGAGATCACAGTGAAACATGTCACCAGCCAAAAGTCATACTCGTTTAGCGACCATCTGGGGACACTTGAGAAAGATGTAACTCTGCCTGCTGGCATGTACCTGTGTTCATTTTGCAGGAGCAAAATGTGAGGCAAACACTTTTGATGGGGAACGTTGTTTGTATGGAGCTTTGAGTGATGCCATCCGACGTCTGCTGAAGGAGTACAAACAGATCACGGCAAAGTGCATGAAGAGAGACTACTATGATGTCTTCCTACAGCGGTAAGCAGATGAGGCAGCTCCAGGTGCAACCCATTCTGTCATCCGTAGCTGTTAACCTGGATATTCAAGCTCTCTGTTAAGGGCAGATTTGAAAGGCAACTGATCAGTACCCTATCTCATTCCTGGGCATGTAGAGCTTCCTAAGGGATGTTCCTTTGTGCCCTAAGGGATGACTTCCAGGTATGTGTGCATTTAAAATATAGCCTCCAGTGACTTGGGTACAGACTCCAGAGTCAACAGAAAGCTGGTCTTTATAATGCAGAAGCATTAGACTGTCATCCTTGACTGTCAAACCAAAATGAGATCACTAAAATCACATCAGCGATTTAGGATAATATGTCAACTGAAATTAAGTTTCAGACCTGAAGTGCTATAGCCCACGAGCTGAGGTTTCCAGCAGTGATAATACGTGTCTCATTTCTGAGATAGAGCCCCTTAAGAAGCCTCAAACTGACTTACAGGGACAGTGCTCGATTCTTTCTTTTTGTTCATTAAAATGTGTTAATTTTAAGATGTTTCTGAAAGTTGCCTGTCACACCTTGTAGTCTTAGCCTAGAGCTTGAGAAGAAGCCTAACTTGTTCTAGGAGTAGAGGAATAGTGTCAATCTCTTCTTGCTGTTTTTCTACCCTGGTGGTTCTGATGTTATTACACAGACTTGTTTTTTGTTTTTTTTTTCCCATTGGACTGAGTTAAAACAAACAAACAAACAAGGTTGCAGCATCTGTATCTTCAAAATTGGAGAGCAAATAAGTCCTAGAAAGATCTGACCATCTTCCCATTACTATAGAGTCCTAATTTCTGAAGCTATGGGGAAAGAGGGGAGGAAGGAAACTCATTTATCTGAGTAAAATCAGATTCTGCCTTTCAGGGAAGTAGAATTTTGCAGGGTGATTTATCACTCTCCTAGTGAGTTTGTGGCTCAGATGGTGCAGGGTTGAGCGCACGTGAAAACTAAAATGTGCTGTTTTCCGCTTCTCATTCCAAACAGATCTTGTACTAAAATTGAAACAAAGGGCAACAGTAGGGGGCAAAAAATAAACACCCAAGTGCTTCTGCTTTGTTTTGGGCAAGACACTAGTAGGAAGGATGTTCTAGTGGCAGGAGATTGAGATCAGCATTCAAGACCCTGCTCTGACATAATCTCATTGTGTGACCCCACACCTTTCTGTGCACCAGTCCTGCTCTCTAGAAGGAGTATAATGCCTGATGTCTGCCTGATTTGACCTCTTGGGCATGTTTGTGAGGGTACATACGCAAGGGGTCATGGGCATTAGGAAGCACTGGTGATGGCTGCAGTAAACTCTCGAAGTAGCGATCTTGGTTTTTTTCCTTTTAAAGAATGAGGGTATGGGCATGCAGTCATAAACGGGACTTCATCTCTGATGTGGTAATTGCTTGCATTTCATGCCTGTAACATCCTTCCTTCTTCTGAGGGTGGGTGACATCAAGTCCTCTCCAATTTGCTGCATGGTTAAAGCGTGCACACTGACAGTGCCCAGAGAGCAGGAAAGTTGCACCTTACTTTGTAGTGGAGTAATTCTTTTTGTAAGTGTGTGCTTCTGGAGGGCTTTTTGTCATCTGACAATTTAAAAGCAGGATTAACCTTTAGAGATGTGTTTGGGAGCAACTAGTTCCTCTTTAAAATCTGTTCCCTGTGTTCAGGGGTTCACCTCAGTCAGGAAGGTTTCATTCTCCAGCCTTCCTCTTGCACTAATGAAACTTCTCTGAGTCATTGCAGGGAGTGAGAGATCCCAGTCTAGTATGTGAAGTACCAGCCCCTGTGCTGGCCTTCTAACTGGGCAGGGAGAGACTGCAATGTCCAGAGGTATTTGTTCATTTAGACCTAATTGTACCATGTCCCCCACTAGCTTTACTCCATTTTCTCCTTTCTCATTCTGCAATGAATTTCCTCTCTCTTTGTTCCTTACAGGTTGCTGGAGCAGGGTTACCAAAGCGACATTGTTTTCATTGTTCATGGCAAATCCTTCTGTGCTCACCGCTGTATTCTCAGTGCTCGTAGTGCCTACTTTGCGGAAATGTTTGAGACCAAATGGAAGGGGAAGAACATGATAGTGTTGAAGCATCCACTGGTGAGCGAGGCTGTGCTTCCAGCTCTTTCCTTTCTTTTCCTGTTTCATCTGGGTGAGAAAAGTGAGTAGGAAGGACAGTTTGAGGGTGAACTTCCACAGCGAATAGCTCCTGGAGCTCAGAATGACCCTAGTCAAGGAGAGGGGCTCGTGGAGGCACTTAATGCAATAAAATAGCATCTTATTCGGATAACAAAAGGCTGTAGACTGCGTACTTCCCCTTGGTTCCCTCTGTCATGGGCTCAAACATATCTTAATTAATTAATTGCAGTAGCAGGTAGCTGTTACCATCTGCCAGCTGCATCACGATTCCTCTGTGGGATGAGTTGAGTCTGTCTAATTCCTGGTGGACAGGTGGTCTGTAGTGAAGACCACCTCCATAATTGGCACTAATTGAGTCCCTTTTGTTGCCTTTGCAGCAAGAACTAAATAGGCCATAAGTGCATTCCATCCATTAATCACCAATACTCTGGCATACGTTTCTATAGCTTGATTGTGGCTGTGCAAAACCTCTCGTGACAAACATACTTCCAGTTTCTCAGGACATTGCTTAATGTCTCTCCTTTCTCTTTGTACAAGAACATGGCTTTCCTCTCAAATTAAGAAGAGATGGAAATGTTTGCAACCAGTGAAAGACTGGATTTTACAGAGCCTGTATTACAACTGTGTCTTTGGAGCACCTCCATTAGTCAGGTCCTGTCCCCCTAGGCACATGGATTAGTATCAGTTGATACATTTAAATAGCTGTGTAAGCCAGGTGGAGTGGCAGCATTAGTTAGGCGAAGAGCAAGGAAATCAGGTGCAGTGTGTGAGTTGCTATTTAAGTGGGGTTTTTTTCGACTTGTTCAGGATCATGTTTGTGTTCAGGCAAGTTTCAAGCTTGTTATTAAGTTCCTGGCAATTCTAAAGGTAACTTTCTCATGTTTTATTTTAGATTAATCCAGCAGCCTTTGGCTCTCTTCTGCAGTATCTATACACAGGTAAATTACTTACTGTCTAGTGTATGTATTCACGGCTGGGGGGCAGCTGTCTGTGCCTCTGCCATAGCACTGTTTTGGTGGCACAGGCTTGCAGCCAGCCGTGTTTGGGTGCATGAGTTGCCAACACATCCTCTCTGCTGGCAGAAAGGGAGAATGTGAGCAATCCCCATCTCTTCCAAGTTGTTTGCACCTTTTGCCAGTTGTTGTCCTGCCAATAACTATACAGTCAATTAAAAAAAATCAGCTTGGGTTGATTGGTTGGATGGATGTGTAGAATGCATTTTTAACTTAAGGAAGGTAAATCTGTCATCTGGGATAACAATACCCTAAGCTGGTGAAAAACCAGGTTCCCACATAGGACATTTTCAGTCTGGCAGACCTGAGAGTGTGCGCTGAATGATTTGACTACTTTCTAATATTTTTTTCTGAACAGAAGTTGATCCTAAACCTTCTATGAAAATACCAAATGTATTGTAGGCATGCTATGCTGAACTATTTCTGGCCAGGAGGTGGTGCCAGAAAATAACTTTATCTTCAAGGCTCTCCTTCCCCAGTCCAGTGTTTTTAGAAATGTTCCTCGCCAGGTTTTCAGTGATGGTAAAAGATTCTGGGATGACAGCTCATGGGCCTAAAGTCTTTTCTTGCCCTAAGCCAGATAGCCAATGGTGGCAGTCATGCACGCTGCTGTTGTGCTGCTCTTTTGTTCTCTTCTGGGGGAATTAAACATCTTTTGTATAAGCCTGTTCGCTCTTTGGCCTCTTGAATGAAGCTGTTCGGGTAGACACTGGAAGGTGGGAATGTGAATCAGATGCCAGACTAAGATTCATCAAAGTGATGGGCAGTGGGGTACCAAGTCTTAGCTTCTTGGACTTAGTTGTAACTGGATACTGAGAAGTGAGGCAGTGTGTCTAATTACTGAATTTCTATGCCATCAAGTCTTCAGTCCCTGATTTTTCCATTTTTACACCTAAGTGATATGGGTTAAAAGAGCTGGCTGCATTTCTTCTTGGCAGGTCGTCTTGATATCGACGTAGAATATGTAAATGATTGCAAGAGGTTAGCCAAGCAGTGTCGGCTGCAGGACCTCATAGATGATTTGGAGACCAAATGTAAAAAAGTCTATGAATTCGGTAAGCATTTTACTTGCTGTTGTCTCTGCTGTGCCTGTGTGTCCTTTCAGGGAGAAGGAGGAAAGTGTGGTGGTGGATTTTTCATGGTGCTCTTGGAGCTTCCAGAAAGTGATTCTGTTGTGGAATTCCCATGTTTGCATGATAGTTTTCAGTCATGGGCTCTCTGTAGGGCAGCTGTGGTGGTTTCTGACACATGCCTATTTATCATTTATATTGAATGTTTTCATTATAGTAGAGCAGCCATGGCAGCAGGACTTTGCTGTGGTTGCCAGACATTCAGTGGAGCACTGTAGGGTATATTGGGAAGTGCCTTTCAGCAGAGACCTTGTTTAAATCCCTCGGGAGATATAATATGTACAATTAAAAGTCCTTTTCTGCATTTATCTGACCCCTAACCAAAGTAAAACATTTGATAATCAGCTCAAAATGAATGCGGAGAGAGATATAACACTTTTTTAAGAGCAGAGAAGTATTTCTGAAAGCATGTGTGTATTTATAACACAGGTATGTGCCAAACCTTAAATGATGCAATCCTTTATTTAAGGGCTTTTTGTTATCCAAAGAGCTTGTGATCTAATCATGACATCAGCTTATTGCATGAAAACCAACAGTTGGAGTTTATCATTCATCTCCTTAGTTCAAGCTAAAGGACACGTGAGTAAGAATCAAAACAGCACAAGTAGGGCAAAGCGGTGTTAGTCATTAAGTAAAAAAAAATTATCTGGTAACAAAACCTTCAGGCTGAAAACATCTGATTCTCATTTCATGCTCTGAGTTAACTCCTTTACTTCAGTCAAGTTAATTTTGGTTTGAGAAGAGAATCTAGTCTGTAGTTTTAAAGTCAATAGCATCTTCTTCCTTGATCTGAGAGGTAAGGGTGTAGCTATTCCACCTTTCCCTTTTGAATTATGAGTTCTGATTATTCAGCTTCCTGAAGTTGCAGGGCTTAACAGATAGAGGCAATACTTCTGGCTCAAGAAATTCCTCATCTGCAAATCACATGGAAGATATTACCATATGTATGTCTCCACTTAGGCATGTGCAATTGTTTGGTGGTGGTGGGGTACTAGGTTACCACAGTAGAGCTGTTCCCACATAGACCAGGGTGGAAGTCCTTATGTCATGGAAGCTGTTTGACAAGTCTTACCTCAGTCGTGTAAGCACAAAAGTAAGCATGCATCTGAAGAGATGAGAAATGCATTTCTTGATTTCTCGCTACAAGTAGTGTAAGATATCAGTTTGTGTGTTAAATAAGTGGTGGAAAAGGGGAGTGGTGGTGAATACCATGACTAGAAAATAAAAACTACTCAGACAATCAGGTAACAGAATTATCTTGTGGCATCTTTTGATATCAGAGTAATCCAGTGAGATCCTGGAGATCGCCCCCTCGCCCCACCCTGTTTTTTCCTTTTTTTTCTTTTTCTTTTTTTCTCCCAGGGTCTAGCTGAGACCCTGGAAGTGACCGTTCCACCTTAATACATCCAGTTAAAATCTCATATTAGATTGTGGGAGGAAAATAAGGTGGATAGTTTGCTAGCTGTCTGAAGCCATTGCATAGCATGTCATTGGCAACCTAAGGATCGTGAAGTCCAGTAGTTAAATTCATGAACTGCAAAAACGCTGAGTTCTTGGTGGGGTTCAAAAATGGAAAACGGTGAAGCAACGTTTCAGGTTGGTTGGGAGTTTCAGATACAAGCTCCACTTGCAAACGTGATGATACAAACTTCCTGGATGGCACTGGACAATGTTTTTAATTTCTGTGTGCTTTGGGAGGGAACAGTTGTTCTTCATTTCTAAGGTCTGACAGCAGACATAATCAATGGGTGGTGTGAAGCACTGATGGAAAGTACTAGGCTTGATCTTATTTATGACAGCTTGGGTTCAAGTGAATAGACATAACTGCTGATAGATCTGTTAAATGTTTGTTTCTCATATCAGATCTCATGTGGAAGCCAGGAAAACTTGATTCTCCAGAAAATAATACATATAAGAATTATAGAAGTTAAAAATTGGGAAAGATCTTAATTCATACCATGTCTGGCATTGTGTTCCCTCTAGTGCATTAGGTATCTTGGCTTGTTCAAAGTGCTTTCTGTGGAATAGACAGCTGATTCAGGTCTGCAGAGCAGGGTCATGTCTTGCATCTGTATTATAAAGAAGAGACGTGCCTAATAAAACAACGTGAACTGAGGCCTGTGCAGCTCCAGTGGATAATTGCAGTCTCTGCAATCTCATTATCTAGAGTTAAGCAGCATTTCAAGAGCACTTAGTATCTTGTCATGCACAGACAGTAGTTTAGGAAAACCCTGGAGAGGATGACCCAGTGCCTTCTGCTGCAGCTGAGATAGACTTCAGTGTGAATGCTTGCTTATCTTCCCCCACGTGTATATTGTGGCTATAACAAGAAAAAACTGTTGCAGTGTTTGGAAGAGCTCAGACAGGGTTTGTCCAGATTAAGCCATAATCCTTCCTTCAGAAGTGGAGGTATTTGAAAATAAATCTTCTGCAGTTATTTCTACAAGTTTTAGGGCAAAGAGGTTGAGAGCAAGGTTTGTGATGCTTGCCTTCATAGCAGAGGCACTGGGTGTACAGAATCTGTGGTTATAGCTAGTCATGGCATTGGGAGGAGGATGTGTAAGGCGGCTATCTGAGTGTGGCATCATTTTGGAAAGGTTTGGGAGTTTGGTGGGGTTTTTTGTGGCTTTTATTTTTTGTGGTGCATTGGCTCAATTGAAACAAAAGACTACAAAGAAGTATTGAGCAGTGGAAACAAAGGCAGCTGATGAATTGGTAGGTGACGTTCAGTGCTATACAGCTGGGCTAGACTGGGAAGAAAGACAAAATCCTCCGTTCTCAACCGTAGTTGGGTTATTCCCTCCAGCTCCTTGCATTGTTTATGTTGCTCTTTTCAGAAAACCCTTCATTCCTACTCCTTGCAAGGAGGTGATGGTCCCTGCTGCTTGCTTGCAGCCAACAGCTTATTCCTGTTCTGTCACTTCGATTTTTAGTGTTTCTGTTAGGAGAGAGTTGCTTGTGATACCAAATGCTGTGCTCTTGGATTTGAGAGATGCAGTGTCTGAAATGTTTCATGATAGATGTCCTTCTCAGACAAATCACTGTTCTTTCATGTCACTATGAAAGTGCACAGATGCTTTGTAGATCCCAAGAGAAGAACACTTTCTCTTGACTACTGCTTAAAACTTGCTGGGTCCATTAGCACTTACAGAGCCTGATTGATTTGGCAACTGTTATAACAGGCATTACACAAATATAAATGATTCTCGCTGCTGTAAAGAATTTCTAATTGCACAGTGAGAAATTTCCTTCTCTCACGCTGGTCTGTAAGTGGACAGGGCTCTTTGAGAAAATGCACTCAGCCTTGTTTGTGTTGGTGCCAGGTCTCCTCTTGGCTTACTTACCCTGGAAGTCATCTGTCTGAAGTTTAGTGCTAATAGAGCAGCCTGTCTCCTTGCTGGTGTAGCTCTGAGTGTAGCAATGCTGGTACCAGACTGTCTTGTATTGGTAAATTACCCTTCCCTTTCCAGTATCTTTCTGGGATATTCAGCCTATTTGAGGTACAGTGGTGGCATATCTGAAGGGTACAGCAGTAACGTGGAGGGAGGGGGTGGAGAACTTGTTTTGTGGCACATCATGGTCTTGTTTCGCCCACGACCCAGTGGAGTCATCTGATGGAGCTCATGTAATGCTGTGCAAAATGTCAGGAAAAATGAGGTCTCAAGGTGGCGTGATTCACCTGCGAGGGGTTTTAATGCAGTGAATCACACCTGCCAGAAATTCTTTTGAACGCTTCAGCGTGGGGCCGCTTAACTCTTCCATCCTTGAGAGTTAACTCTGCACCTCTCTGGCTCCCAGCAGCATCTCAAGCCTTCCTCACCACAACTTTGCATTTTCCAGTGGTGCTCTGTGTTTTTTCACATGCTTCCCTATATGCCAGTGACTCTTGAATGTCTTACGTGCTCAGTCCTCACCCCAAAGCATGCTGAGCTGAAAACAAACCTGCGGTAGTGAACTGCGGGAGGGAGGTGGCCAGAAAGAGGAAAGGCTGTGATGGCAGCGGTATTGTAATACAATAGCTGGGCGTACTTTGGGCTGCTGCTCGTTTGAAGTTAGGGGGGCTGGCTTCAGTGAGCTCCACAGCAACTTTGGTCATAGCAAGACCACAAAAGTATGATCGTGTATTTTGCTTCCCCTTTATCAAGCTGTTTAATTGTGTAGGCTGGTAGGGCAAGACAGGAAGATGCACTAGGTCTGAAAAAGGCAGATGAAATTGCCATCTCTGTATGGTTTATTTGATCTCTTTGGTGGTGGTAGCAATGCTTATTTAATGTTTGCAAACAACACAGGCACACTCAGGAGTCCAGGTGTTTTGGGGGTCTTTGTGCTTTGGGGATCTACAGGTAGAGAGTAGAGGACAGACTCGGGTGCACCAAACTTATTACCTAAACAAGAATAAATTCCTTTATTCCCTGGAGTGAAGTTAGGATGGCACAGCTGAAACAGGACCCATGAGAGCATGTGGCCCAGCAGAGGGGCATGGAAGCAGCTTTGTTTTAACTAAATACTCCCTGGCATAGGCTTCACTTTAGGTGACACTGTCAGTAGTAGGGGTGGTTGGCTGGGGAAGGCGTTGTGTGAGCGGCTCCTACAGGGATCAGGGGCAGGCTGATCAACGGTCCTCAACTATAATTGATGACAAGGATTGCAGAGAGCAAGTTGGGCTTGAAATATGCCTGTGTTTGCCACAGTTGATATTCCAGCACAAGGAATTAAGTGGAGGTTCAAGGAGAGACAACAATACATGCATCCCCTTCCAGCCCTGCTCACCAGCTGTACTGAGGGGTGCTGTATGCATGTTTACATAGAGGAATCGCATGTGTTTTGTAGTAAAAGCTGCAGTAACAGCAATAATACCTATTTTTTTCTGGAGTGTCTTTCTTTTCTCTAAATGGGAGAGAATGCTTGTAGAGGAATTTAGGCTTCTCTGCTCTTTTTGTTTTTTTGCTTCTTCCAGTTTCTTCCAAGCCAGGGACCTGTGTGAAAGTGCTGACGATTGAGCCCACAGGTAACTGCCAGCTGCAGGAAGATCTGGCTCTCCTAGCAGACTGCGCCCTGCCGGCCGAACTGCGGGTAGGGAGCATTTATACTACTTTGGGTATCTGCAGGGCATGCTATGTGTTCACATGTGTTGTCGCATTTTCTCCATTTGAGTTTAGTGCTTGCTTGTTTGCTGGTGCTCCAAATGCTGAAAGCCTCGTATTGCTTGGAAAGGCTGTAAAATTGTTTAATGAGGCTGTCAGTGCTGGTCCTTTCCCTTGGATTTTTCCCCCAGCAGGGATGTCTGTAAACAAAACCCTTGCCATGCGGTTGGTGGGGATTTCCCCATTGACGACAATGGGACAAGAGTTGACCCCCAGCTCTTTTTCCTTCTCTCTGCTGTCCTTCTGGAGTATCAGAAATGTTTTATCAGCAGACATTGGTACCCAAAGGAACGTATGGATGGAAGATGGCTTGCTGGGCTTGCTTGCTAGGAACTGACACCGTGCAGTGGAGAGGTGCTTTCAAACCCTGAAAATATTTCCAGCAGAAATATGAGTCCCTTTGAAGCGAATTTAACCTGACTGGCAATAGATTTGCTTTTCATAACTACGTCTTGTTGGCCCTTAGAAATAGCCCACAGACCACAGGTTGATGATCACTGTGTTAAAATACCATCATTATTATTAGTTAGGCTCATATATGTGGATCTTCGCTCCTAGTTGCAGGAGAACAGGATAAATATTAGTGGTCTTCGTTCTCCCTGCATCTGTTGTTTTCTGTAATATCAGCAGATTCACTTTGCTCTTATGTCTGTCCTTTTCTTCCTCTCTCTCGTACCAACCACTGAATTTAATAATGTGAACTCATTTTAGGTGGCTGCTGTGCCCAGAGATTGTATGACTGAGTGATGTAGCAAAGTTTATTGCCTTTTTTCTGTTTGTGCCCTGTCGAATAGACCAGCCTGGTGCAGAAAGCGTGTGCGTGTGCATGGATAAGGTTTCTTACCTGTAATAAGCCAGCGTGTTTTATTATTTTGGCAGACATATTTCTCTGAGTACTGAGCACTTTATAGAGGGAGGTTTTCTCCGTCAAGTTTCCATCTACCAATGCAGAAATCTTTCCTACATAACCTGCCTCCCCCAAATAACTGTGCATTTATTTGTGGCTTTCAATATGCTTTTCTGTATGTTTGCGGGCTTTAAAAGGAGGTGATACTATAAGTAAGCGTCAGATTTACCTCCCCAAGAATTAAAAAAAGGATCGTGGGCCCCAAAACAGTGAGATTTACATAAATTTTAAGTCACTTCACAAATAAAAAGAATGCTTTCTGTTTGATTGCTTTTTCTCAGACCTTGATGGCACGTTCCTGTTAGGCTAAGCTTTTCTTCTCAAGGGTTAGAAACACTTCCCTTTTTTAATTCTTTCATGCAGAATAGGAGCTGGAAGGAAAATATGAAACTTGGAATAATATAATCATCTGACAGCATGTTATGGCTTCAACCCAGCTGGCAACTAAGCACCACCCAGCCGCTCACTCACTCCCCCCCACCGCCCTGCCCCGGTGGGATGGGGGAGAGAATCGGAAGGGTAAAAGTGAGATAACTCGCAGGTTGAGATAAAGACAGTTTAACAGGTAAAGGAAAAGCCGCGCACGCAAGCAAAGCAAAACAAGGAATTCATTCACTCCTTCCCCTCGGCAGGCAGGTGTTCAGCCATCTCCAGGAAAGCAGGGCTCCATCACACTTAACGGTGACTTGGGAAGACAAACGCCATCACTCCGAACGTCCCCCCCTTCCTTCTTCTTCCCCCAGCTTTATATGCTGAGCATGACATCATATGGTGTGGGATATCCCTTTGGTCAGTTGGGGTCAGCTGTCCTGGCTGTGCCCCCTCCCAGCTCCTTGTGCATCCCCAGCCTACTCGCTGGTGGGGTGGGGTGAGGAGCAGAAAAGGCCTTGACTCTGTGTCAGCACTGCTCAGCAGTAACGAAAACATTCCTGTGTAATCAACCTGTTTTCAGCACAAATCCAAAACAGAGCCCCATACGAGCTGCTATGAAGAAAATTAACTCTATCCCAGCCAAAACCAGCACACTGCACTGTGAATGCCTCTGTGAGCTGTGTTTTTCTTGCTATATTCATAGATCAGAACAAAGGCAGTTACAGCAGCATTAGACTTGTTATGGCTGTAAAAGTGAAGAGGGCATAGGCACACGCCTGTTCACTAGAGAATTTGTATGCCATGTGCAAATGTGAGTGCTTTGTTTAAGCCTGATCAATTCTAAAAGATTCCCATTTTTCTCTCTCTAGGTCTTTTTTTTTTGTTAACTTACAAAGAATATATGAACAAAGCTCTTCATCCTATTGCCATTTATATCTCATCCTAATGTTTTCAAATTGTTAAATTCTGTGAATTAGGCATCTTTGTTCTGGGACAGAGGAATTGCACATCCTCATTCTTAGTGTTTGATGCCATACAAGGAATAGTATACAAACTATGTAACCTAACGTGTCAGGGCACCATGTACAAACATCTGTGTTCTCAAGAGAAACATACATTTTTTTCCAGACTATGCAGAACAAAATAGGTATTCGGCTTCTGGATAAAAGCCAGCGTTTCCAGAATTTGGCAAGAGACATTCTGAGCTGCTGCATGTCATGTAATGCCATATTACGTGAAATGGAGATGTATACAACTTTCTGTTTCACTATAAAAAAATAATTTGCATGTAATGTCTTTGATACTTCAGTGATACAGAAAACTCTATGCATCTCAATTTCATAGTTCAGTAATATGTTATATGACTTAAAACAATATTTTATATTCAATCATGGTTCATTATTAGTTTTTAGAGTGAGAACCATGTATTCTTTGAACTCTTAAACACGTTTATAATCTTGGTATCTTGTTTCTCATTCCTGTTTATACTTTAAAGCCCTTTCTCCTTCAGTGTTTGTTTTTAAAAGTGTGGTTGTTGTCTCTATATTGTTTTAAGCTAGGAATGGCCAGAATTTTTCTGACTGCAACAAATAATTGGTTTGTTGCAATAAATTTAGCAGTGACAGATTTAAGTAAAAATACCATCAAAAGCCAGGCAACTGTCAAAAACCATGTGGCTTTCCACTGTCTGTCTGCCTAGCTCTTCATCTTGTGTCTGCCAGGTGACCTCTGAGTTAGAGACTCCAGGGCTTCCAGTGTATGAGACTGTAGGCACATCATTTCCTTGCAGCTGGTTTTTCATTACCTTTTAACTGAAATCTTATTTTCCAAACCAAGATGAAATCAGACTTAAAAGGATCAGAGTTTGCCATGAAATAAAAACTGTTCTCTCCATCTGTATCGACATTTGGTGTGGCTGCAAAGAAATGTGACCATTTGTCACTTTTGGGGTAAAGCTAAGTCTTGTAATGCATAGAAAGAACAGTTGGAAACAAGTAGATGGGTTCCATCTTGTCTGCCTCCACACCTGTGTAGCGTGATTGTCCATGGCAGTTATTCCTGTGCTTTGCTTTGCCCATTTGGCAGAGGCAGATTAACTGAACTATTTACAACATGCTGGATTTATTTTTTTTTTTTTAATCCACTTGCATCTGGTTATGGGCTGGTAATCTTCTCTTGGATCACTAACCCCTGTATTTTGTGTTGTAATTTATTTACAGTTTTCTTGCTGAGATAATCTGGCCAAGGTACAAATTGCTGCCACTGATTTGTTTTGTATGTTTTTGCCTCCAGCAACATTTCTATTTAAGTGCCAATAGCAAATTTGTAGCAGCAAAGATGTGGTCCTCCACATGCGATGGCTGGAAGATCCTGAGAATGTTCAAGCAGTCTTATGCTATAGAATTGTTGAGAATATTTCTGTATGGTGAATGAGTTATTGTGAATGTGTTTGCACCTCGTAGGCTAGACCGTTTTGTGCTTCCTGGGCAACATACTTAACTTTGGCAGCTGTGCTTTGTGTGCACAGGGGTATGCTAAGGAGGTTGCCTGAATGGGGGGGGTGGGAGGAATAAGCCAGTTTTCTGCAGGGAGACCCTGAAAGGGAGATGAAATTCCTCAAGCGTGACAAGGGAGGAGAGTAGAAGTAGTAGAGACTTAAAAGGGGAGTAAAAGGGAAAATTCTGCAAAGCCACTTCATGCTGAATAGGAGAGACAAAGACATGAACGTGCTTTTGTAGTAAGAATTGGAAATGACCTTGCAAACCTGAGCATCGGAGTGGGGACCAGGCAAGGCTAGAAGCAGGAAATTGAGCCTGGATGAGTTTGTAATTCAGGAGACAAACAAAACTCCCATGTCCATTCCAGAGGGATGGATTCCTTTTATAGGTTTACCTTTGGACAATGAAAGGGGAGCAAAGAAGGGATGCATGCAAGAGATATGGAGTTTATGTCTCAGTTAAAATTCTTGTGCTACAAAGAGTGGCATCTTATCAAAGCCTGTTTCTAGGTTTGTTTTACCTGTAATGTGCCTGCAAAGTTGTAGCCTTGAAAGTCATGTCAGAATTTCTAGGAGAGGACATGGAAGCTGTGGGCATAGGGTGGGGAAACAGTGGGCAGTTGGATCATGACTACTAGTGTTTGTAATGGTAACTACTAGCCACAGAGAGTGTGGCTGCAGATCCCAGACTGCTGTTTGTTCATTGCCTTGAAACATGAGACACAGATAACAGCAAAATAGCAGCCTGGGGAATCTACAACTGGGAGGATTTGATCTCATCTTTGATGCTGGAGGTGCTCATTGTGTTACAGCTGTATAAAAAGCAGGTAATAGATCAGGTGGGAAGTGTTCCTTGAATTGCTGTATCTCCTCTGGGAGAGGAGTTCCTTCCTCCCTGGGGAAGGACTCGCAGGGGAGAGGTGCTATGGAGAGGCAGGATTACTGTGGCAGCCACGCGCACAGTTTGAATGTCACTGGGCATGCTCTCCTGTGATTAGGAACCAGAAGCTGCCAAATGTTGCTGTGGACAGACAAAGAGCCTGGCAAATGGGTCCAGATTGCCATGTTCAGTGGCGGTGTGAGCTTTTGCCAGCTTGGTGCCTTGCCACATCCTAGAACCTGTTTTGTGAGAGAAACCCCACTGCATGCGAACTGAGCTTGGCTGAGCACCAACCCAGTGTATTGCAGGCCATGTCTTTGTTTAGTTTGGGAGGGAGGAGTCATCTGGCTCCTCGGTAAAGCTGAAAGTCAGTTGTTTTCAGTTAGGATGGAGGCAGGCGTGTTGGAAATGGTGCTTAGGTAGTCTGCGATTGGGAGAATGATCTTCATGGTCAGCCCAGGGTTTTCCCAGGTGCAAACTTGGGATGTAGCTTTCCTGGATGAGAGACAGCGGTAATAAACTCCTCGGCCCAGGCAGCTTAGGGGCATGTGTTTGGAAAGCAAGAACCAGGGGAAAATTTTGTTTCTAGATTAATTGTCTTGGTTACATCACTGTGAACATAAACTTTTTTCTACAATTGAATTACCCTGTATATAGGATAAGGTGAAAGTGAAAATATTTGGAAGTGTCACTTCAAAATAACATAAGGCTAACAGATTTTTTTTGTGTGTGTGCTGTCTTTGTTGGCATGTGGGACTGGGAGGAGGTGTGTTGGTGTTAAAAATAATGCACTAGAGTATTAATACTGCAACAACACTATCTTTGGCTGCAAATCAAATGAGAAATTTAAAATGTGCTTTAGAAACATTGGATTATTCAAGTGAGGCAGTAATTGTAGCGAAACCATTTCAAACTGCTGTATACATCTATGTAATCTATATGTAACTACATCTACGTCTACATCTACACAGTAAAGGGCTAGTCCTAAGCTCTAGTATGCTTATGATACCCACTACATGAAGTAAACTTCACCTCCACTTGGTTATCTGTCTTGTTAGGTGGCACAGAAATGCTTTCCAGAGGTGTATGGAGGGTCAGGGAGTTTCCATGGATAAGGGAGGCAGCTGTAACTTGTACCAGGAATATCTCTATCAGGAGTGCAAGGACTTCAGTTCCTCACGTTGAAATCTGTGTTCAGAGCATCTCTGGTGCTCTGCACTGTGGTGAGGGAATGAATGGATGGTTGCTTCTGGGAAGATCAAGAAGTCCAAAGTCGGGACCCTGAGCATGTTTAGAGCATGAACGTGAAAGGTAGGGTTTTCTGGTTTTTCTTCCTAGGTTGGTTTTGGGGAGTTGCCGTTTGACAGCACTGACAACTTTAACAGTTGTCCTGACGTGTGTTTCCGGGTGGCAGATTACAACTTTCTGTGCCATAAGGTATGTGCTTGTGCTATATACTTCATTCTCCTCCCTTTTTGCCCTGAGCCTAGTCTACCTGTCTCCCCCACTCCTCGAGTGCTGGATATGCTCTGCAGAAGCAGCATTGCCTCATCAACTGGAAAACCAAAAGTCTTATTGCAGCTGGAAACTATATTTAAAGCATTTAACAAAACAGCAAACCCTGCCTTTCTCGCAGAGGTGAGGATATAAATTTATGGATTCAGCTACAACATTCACAGCTGCAAAATCTTCTACTGCCAGCTTGCGAGTTCAGTGTCTGGAGAGGGGAATGTTTGATCTGCAAGTAAACAGCAGTAAGAATGGATTTTGAAATCCAACCTCAACTCAAACTCTGCCCTAATGCCATGCTAGTTTTGAATCTCTTAAGTTTACAGATTGTTTTTTTGGTTCTGAGGATAGGCATGGATAGAAATAAAGTATGGAAAAGTGTTGGAGATGCAGCTTCAAAATATAGGGACAATTAGAGTTACAGAGTCTGAACTTCCGAAATATCTTTAAGCTGTTCCGACAGCCGGTTGGTAGTGCTGTTTGACTTGGTGCAATGAGAAAGATGTGAGTGTCTTGGTCTGTCTTCCCTCTCCAGGCATTTTTCTGTGGTCGCAGTGATTATTTCAAAGCCCTTCTTGAAGACCATTTCAGTGAGAGTGAGGAGCTGCAGACACAGCCCAGCATCCCTGTGGTGACTCTCCACAACATCTCAGAAGACATCTTCATCCGAGTCCTCTACTACATCTACAGTGATGATACAGAGGTGAGGCCAGCCATGGAGCCTTTCCTCCTGTGCTGATTAATTCTGGAGGTGTTCACAGCAGTGTTTTCCTACAGCATCTGGAGGTGGGGTGTATGTGTGGTTACTTAAATCCCACTGCCCTACTCTGCTACCTCACTTCTGTCTCAGGAACTCACTCAGGGACTTGCTGTTAGCCAGGCAGGGATCTAGTTTATGTGCATAACATTCGGGAATCAAATCCCTAGTCTTTCATCCCATAACAAAAATTTGGAAATTAGGTTGCACGTTGTATGTTGGCGTGATAAATGCAGGGTGTTGCAGATTTCCCTCTTGGGTTCTGTGGAAGGATAAGGTGAGCAGCTGCCAGTAGATGGCAGATTGAACACATTTGGAGATGTAGAAAGGTTGAGAGATTTGGCTTATTTACTCTTGGCATCATAGCCCACTTTTCCATTTGTAGCAAGTCATTATTTCCACTGTTATTTATTGCTGGGGTGGGCAAAGGTTCCACTGGGAGGCCAACGCCTTGCTGTGCTCAGCAAGCAGTAACAAAATGGCCCTAACCCACCTAGTTTTTAGCCTAATGGAAGGTGCAGCAAATCTCAGCGTTTAAGCAGCTTCCTGCTTTGGTTTTGTGGCAAATGCTTTCAGCAGGTCTAGCTACAAGATGCCAGAACACATTCTGGCATTAGGGCAGTGATCAGAGACGCTGCTGCACCTGCCAGCGTCACTTCTCCCACGCAGTATTTGTGCTCTGGGTTAGGTGCCACATACAGAGAGTGCACGCAGCTGTGACCTTATTTCTGCTGATCCGTTCACCTCCGGGTAGCAGCAGGGAATGTGCGGTAGGGGGAAATGTATTTAGCAGGCAGCAACGGCAGGATTGCCATTGGTATGCCGGAGAGCAGATGCTTCACTTGCCTGCACTCTTCCCTCAGCCACGCGCTGAAAGGGCAGGCAGAGAGGGAAAGAAGCGTGTTGGGGTTGTGAAGATCCTCCTGACCTTGTGACTGCACTGCAGCGTGACCCTGTTCCCTTGCACCTCTCCAGTCTGCCTGCCTTCCTTGTGATGTCTTACAGGAAGGATGTTTCCCAAGCAGCCGTTCCTTTCCAAGGGGTGTCTCAGCTGCCCTGTCTGGACTTGGAGCAGGAGGACAGACCAACAGCAACATGTAGGAGTTGAAAGGGTCTTGCTCATATGTTTTCTATGCAGAATGGTGCCATCACAGAAACTAGCTTGGATTTCAGACTGAGCAGCCAAGATATGAGCTTCTGCAGAGAGTTCATCTGTCATGAAAAACTACCAGGAAAAATGATCAGGAAAACAGGAATATAGCTCAAGTTCCACACTTATATGTGGAGTGTTCTCCCTGCTGTGGGTTTCTCCAGCCAAGTGTCAGCACTCCCAGTTCCACGTTCCTTTTTCCGAAGGATTTATATGCCTCTCTGCCATGTAGTAGTGACAATGCTTGCAGTTGGAGGGAAGAGTGTGTGCAGAGGACAGAACAGGTTCCAGGCAGAAAGAGAAGTTGCTGATCGGAATACTTGTGTGGGCTCAAGGGGAGCTTTTAGAGGAATGTTTGCGAGGTTTGTCCTTGATCAAGCAGTTGGGAGCTGCTGCCATCAATAGTACTGACTCAAAACGCCTCCAACTTGTGAGGTTCCTGGAGCTTATGAAAGGACAAAGCAGCACTTGATTAATAACCCCAAGAGCTTAATACACCACTGTGGCACTACAGCACTCATGGCATGCCTCTAATACATCTTGGATCCTTCTGCACAGCTGTTGCAGGGTGTTATACAGCTGAGATGTGCTGTGAGTAGTCTCTCCAAACAGCGGTGTGGACAGCTGTAGGAGAATAAATAACCAGCCTTTCGCAGTTGTAAGAGTGAGCAACCACATGTGTAGATGTGGACAGCAGTGTTTTTGCTGCTAACCAGTTTTCAGGGCAGTGGACCACGCTGCACCAGTTACCATTCCTCAATCTAGACCAGTGTGGCTTGGTCTCTAGATGCAAGTGATGTCGCCTCCTCCACAGACAGGGTATACTGCATCCTGCAGATTTGCTGTTAAAATGGATGTGGGTAACTGTGCTCTTTGCACTTCACATTAGCAGGAACAGAACTGTGCAAAGAGAGGCTCTAGTTCCAGGTTAGTGACGCAGATGGCTGACTAAAACAGGATTTGCCCAGCCACGGGGAGGAGACTGAGTGAAGCTGGAGGTGGCGTCTCCAGCATTATCTACAGCATTTTTTATCCTCAGATCACTAGTAAAGAGCAAAAATACCCAAGAGGGAAATGGGAGGGTGGGTCTCTAGCTCAAGAGACTGAAAATGTTAAAGATCATTCACAACAGTGTAAGCTTGAGCATCTGGTGCATGAATTTAGTTCAGTTTGAATGCCTGTTAAAGCTCCAGTAGTATTTGATGTGCAGAGCCTGTTCCTTACCTAGTTGGGCCTCACCTATAGTTTATTTGGGGTGCAATTTTCTGTCCTTGGGCGTATCCCTGTGCCAGGGAGGTTGTGCTGGCTGAGTTAGCAGAGCCAGTTTGAGGAAGGAACTCAAGAGAATTTTGCATGTTTCCCACAAAATGCAAGTCCAGCAGTACAAAATGGGAGGAAAGGTCCTAGTGGGGACAAGGTGTTCTATTCTGCCAGTCTGTTCCATTTGTCTCTTTGAAGGGCTTTCAGTACCTCTGGTAAAAGCTACCTCCTTCCACTGCCACATTAAACACTTCTTATCAGCCAGCTTTCAACTGTACTTCAGTGTTTCAGCATTGCTTTGTGCTTAGCTAGAGGGGTTAGCTGCAGCATGGCAAACTTCTTGCTTTGTGCTGAGCAAACTGCCACTGCAGCATTTTAAACTCCTCTGTGGTAACTGAGTGCAAGACCTAGCCCTGAAAGATTGAGCTCCTGTCTCTCCATAGTAATGTTAACACTTGTCCGGTAATGGACCAAACAACACTTTAGGGAATATCTGCTAAGACACAAAAGAAGAAGGCAGTTTGCCAGAGACAAGTGGGTAGGACTGGACAATAATTCCCCTCTTTCCGTTGCCAGCTGTCCCCGGAAAATGCCTACGATGTGCTGTGCGTGGCAGACATGTACCTGCTGCCTGGGCTCAAGCGCCTTTGTGGCAGAACCTTGGCTCAGATCCTTGATGAGGACAACATTGTCAGCATCTGGAGGATTGCAAAGCTGTTCCAGCTGACCCGGCTGGAGGACCAGTGCACTGAATACATGGCAAAGATCATCGAGAAGGTAGCAGAAGCACTCCCTGCTGCACTTACCACATGTGCCCATAAATCTAACTGCACAGTGAGCCATAGATACAACAGAGTTAATGGTTGCATTTTGGTCTGTAATAAATGGTTGCCCTCTCTGGTTTAACGTGCTTTCTGAAAATGAGGAGCAGTTAAGTAGCAAAGCACATGGTGAGTTAGGACAGGGGGTGAAGAGTGTGGCAGTACCTGATGTCGCTGCAAGCACCAGATGCTGGTGGTTGTCTAGCACATCCCTGTGGACTGTGGGGTGAAAAACCTGCCCAAAAAGTTCTGCAAGTGCCATGGGCAGGTGACTTTCACTGAGCTTTCAGCCACCATGCTCAGAGCAACAACGGTGTTGCCTGAATACACCAGCTGCAGCCTGGAGAACCCAATGGGGTGTGCAGGAAATGTTTTTCAGCATTTGCTGGAGGGAGTTCTTCCTGGCATAATGCTATAGAAAGGAGTAATCAATGTGATCTCTACTGTCCTCCAGGATGACAAATCTTAACAGTAGTGGTTTCCACAGGGGAAATTTGGCCATTGAACAGCCAGAAGTAATGAATCTAACACTGAAGTTTTCTTTATGGGACTCTATTTAAGTGTAATCCTGAGTGATAATAGCTTGAAGTTTCAGGACTCATGGAGAAAGTTTCCATACAGAAGGATAAACTAGAATCTATGGGGCGTTCTTATTCCGAGACAGATCTTTATGAATGGCTTGTACAGTTCACATGGGAATGTAACATTTTCACCTGCAGCTTGAAAGGTGTAAAATTCTTTTTGGCGTGTGAAAAAAGCATAGGAAATTATTCTGGGGCTGTTATTTTGTTCAGTGTATAGCTCGGGGATGATAGACACATCAGCATGCACCCAGATTCTGGCTTCTGACAAAGGGATATTGTTTGAAAGCTGAATGAATATCCCAAGTAGTAATCGGGCAAGGTAGGGCTTTACTTGTGTGTTCCCCTTGCATTCCCCTTCTCTAGCCTGAGTGGGAGTCCTCAGACCCAGCATTGGCAATGTGCCTTCCTAAGGGTGTTGGCACAAATGGAGCCACCCCAGCTGTTCAAACATCAGCAGCTGCCAGCATCTTGTAGAGATGCACTGATGATGGCAACAGGGAGAGATTTTGGCAGTGTGTAGCATAGAGCAGGGCTCAGCAACCTGCCGTGCCCAGGCACAGTTTGGTAGCATAGACAGACGGAAGCTGCCTCTCACCCTTCAGCACACCACATGTTCCTGGGGAACTTGATGCAAAATCATTCATGGGTGACCTGATTCTGTCAGGTTGGGTGCAGAACAGAGCAGCTGCCTTGCTGTGATCTGCTGGTCAGCTGTTGGTGGTGGGGCTGAGAGCCATGGTGGGGATAGTCATCTGTGGCTCCTGGTTCTGAACTGGGCACAAGCGCCCACTGTCTTGCCTGTTGCAAGACATTTTCCAAAAGTGT